GAAGCCTTCTTGAGAAAGTAGTTTGCACTTAATTTTTATTTTTTTAAAATTTTTTGAGATGGAGTCTCTCTCTGTCACCCAGGCTAGAGTTCAGTGTGGTGTGATCTCAGCTCACTGCCACCTCTGCCTCCCAGGTTCAAGCAATTCTCCCACCTCAGCCTCCTGAGTAGCTGGGCTTACAGGAATGCATTACCATATCCAGCTACTTTTTATATTTTTAGTAGAGGTGGAGTTTCACCATGTTGGCCAGGCTGGTCTCAAACTCCTGACCTGAGGTGACTGGCCCACCTTGGCCTCCCAAAGTGCTGGGATTCACAGGCGTGAGCCACTGCACATGGTCTTTAATTTTTTAATTGATAGATAACAGTTGTTTATATTTATGGAATACAATGTGATTCTTTGATATATATTTACATTGTGGAATGATTAAATCAAGCTAATTAACAAATTCCTTACCTTGTATACTTATTTTTTTGTTGTGAAAACATTTGAAATCTACTCTTTTAGCAATTTTGAAATGTTAAATACATTATTATTTATCGTAGTCACCATTCTGTGCAATAGACTACTAAAGCTTATTCCTCCTTTCAAAACTAATTCTTTGTACTCAACATCTCCCTTTCTGCTCCCCACCCTCCTCTGTCCACCTCTTATAACCACCATTCAACAGTCTGCTTCTGTGAGTTCCAACCTTTTAGATTCCACAAATAAGTGAGGTCATTTGTGGTATTTGTCTTTCTGTGCCTGGCTTGTTTCACTTAGCATAATGTCCTCCAGGTTCAGTTTGTACTTAAAATTTATGATACTTAAAAATTATGATACAGTACTTTATAAACAGTAAGTACTCACATTTTTGACTGCCTGATATTATTGACTTGCCTGACACCAAATTGCTGATTATATTTCTCATAGCGTATTTTGTCTCTCAACACTTAGAAGAATTGAGCTGATACTTACACAGGAGTACTATGTAAATTAAGAACTATCATTAACTGGATGGATTAGACATTTTTAGTAGTCCACTCAGACCATTGAGATGAGAGTACTGACCTCTGAATATTATGAAAGAATAATTAATAACAATAATGAAGACAAGCTTTGATCATCGTCACTGGAAGAACTTAGTGTTAAATATATAGCACCCTTCTTCCATTTTAATTTGCATCTGTGACAAAAGGAAGTTTCTGGGTGGTGCTTATCTCACTTTGGACTCTGACATTTTTTCATGTTGGCCTAATACGTAGCCATGACTCATGAGGTGTCACCTTCAGCCTCTAAGAAGGAGGCCAGGTTTCTAGTAGATCTTGTTATATTGCCGTTTGGAATTTACCCAGAGGAAAAAAAGTAAGGCACAATTGCAGTTGTTTAGATGAACATCTCACTCAGGCTTAGTAGAGGCAGTGGGGCAGAGTAGACCATTCTCACTCTGTCTAGCCTTGTTTTCCACCTCTGTTCTCAAGATTTTTCTCTGAACCGTATCTTAAAGCAGAGATGACAGTTGATCATAGAGGTTCCCCTAATTCCCAATTTCTGGCTGATTCCTAAAATTTCAGCAGTATCAAGAACATAATTTATTCTTACAAATTGTATTACTCGGCCGAGGTAGGTGGATCACAAGATCAAGAGACTGAGACCATCCTGGTCAACATGGTGAAATCCCATCTCTACTAAAAATTCAAAAATTAGCTGGGCATGGTGGCACGTGCCTGTAGTCCCAGCTACTCAGGAGGCTGAGGCAGGAGAATTGCCTGAACCCAGGAGGCAGAGGTTGCGGTAAGCCGAGATCGCGCCATTGCACTCCAGCCTGGGTAACAAGAGAGAAACTCCATCTCAAAAAAAAAAAAAAACCAAAAACCAAAAAACAAATTATATTACTCAAGAAAAATGCAAATATCCCTGCAGGGGGTTGAAAAGTCAACATGTAAGTGATTGCAGTGACGGCCTGTCTGGACTGCCTGCTGCCATGATGCTGGCTGCAGTGGGGGAGGCATGGCCTGGGCTGCACGTGCTCCATGGAGCCCATGGGAGCTGGGAATAGGTGGAAGCCCTGCCCCCTTCTGAGTTGGCGGGGTGGGAGCAGCCATGGCTGTATACCCAGGCATCCCTGTGCTTTTGGGGGCCCAGGAACCTTCCCTGCCCCTGCAGACTTGGAAGTGCCTGCTCCCACTGCCTGGCCTCTCCATGCTCCTGGTGCCCATTCTGATTTTGGAGCAAGGTTGAGGCCAAGCCTGGGCACTGTCATGCCCTGGCTGGGTGTGTGCATGTTAAGGGCAGCGCTGACATGCCAGCCCACTGCTGCCTGTTTCCCTCTGGATTTTGGGTGTCCAGGAGCATAGGAGGAAGGCCAAGGTGGGGGCTGAGGGCAACTCCACACAGGCCTGCAGGTGCCCCTTGGCACAAATAGCCTGGGCACCATGGATGGCAGGTTGATGGCAGCAGGAGGCAGACAGGATCCTAGGCAGAAATGGGTGGGTCCCTCCTGAAGCCCCACTTTCAAGCCAGGGATGGCCTGAAGTCTGAGGCCCAGGCTGCCAGTTCTGTGGACTGGAGTGAGAGCTTATGGTGCTTTTTCCAGTCTGCCCATGGCCACCCATGGACCAGTCAGCATGCACTTCCTCCCCTCTGTAGCCCATAAAAACCCTGGACTCAGTTGGACTTGACAGCCCAACCTGCCTGTAGATAGGAGCTGTCCACTCTGGGTCTCCTCTCTGCTGAGGGCTGCACACATACTGGGCCGACCTCCTGTGGAAAGGAGCTACCCACTTTGGGTCTCTTGAGAGCCATTGTATTGCTCAATAAAGTACCGCTTCACTCAGCTCGCCTCCAGTTGTGTGTGTACCTCATTCCTCCTGGACACGAGACAAGAGCTTGGAATCCACCAAATGGCGGGACTGAAAGAACTGTTAACACAAACAGAGCTGAAGCATGCCCCCCCACTCCCTCCCCCTCCCCCACCCACTTGCCATGTTGTGAGCAAGAGAAGGAGAGAGAGAGAACTGCAGTCCTTTGGGAAGCCCAGCCCTAGGAGCTCCCTGAGCTAGGGCTCTGACACCCTCTTTGGAGCTCCATGGTTCCTGGCATCTCCAAGCTTCTGGGCACCACCATGTTCCCCAGAGCTGCAGTGGAAGCTGCTTTTGGTATACCTGGTCCATCCGCAGCCTCTCAGGGAGCTGGCACCTGGAGCTGCCCACCCCCCTGCAACTGGAGTGCCTGGCTATGCTCAGTGGCCAGATCCTGTGCTCACTTGCTCACGCACCCCTTGCTGCTCTGCACCTGGCTCGTCCTCGGCATGTATGGAATCTGTGCCGGTAACACGAGCTGAGCACAGCCTTACAGACCAAGTGGACGAAAGGAGCCTGGCAGGCCCAAGCAAAACTTGGGCAAAGGCGCCACTGGCCACAGAGGTTTCTGGCTGGTGAAGCGACAGTCCAAGTATTCCGTGATAAAAACATGAAACATAGAATATTCAGAACTTTGCTGTAATAGCTAGTTGCTAGAAACGCTCTGCTAAGTGAGACAATAATGAATAAGTTTTCCTTTGAGGGAAGGAGAATCCTGGAGGGGTTTTAACAGCTGGAAACTGTGAAGAAGCTTGAGGTGTCAAGATCCCCAAAAGAGGAAAGGGAAATGAGTACTGAGAAAAGAAGGGGAAGAGCCAGATGCAGTGGTTCACATCTGTAATTCCAGCACTTTGGGGGGTCGAGGTCAGTGGATCACCTGAGGTCAGGAGTTCAAGACCAGCCTGGCCAACATGATGAAACCCCGTCTGTACTAAAAATACAGAAATTAGCTGGGAGTGGTGGCAATCTCAGCTACTCAGAGGCTGAGGCAGGAGAATTGCTTGAACCCGGGAGGTGGAGGTTGTAGTGAGCCAAGATCATGCCACTGCACTCTAGCCTGGGCAACAGAGTGAGACTCTTTCTCAAAAATAATAAATAAATAAATAAATAAAATGGAAAGAAAGGGAAGGACATTTAAGAAATGAATTATGCTGATCCTAGCTATTCTGGAGGCTCCGGTGGGAGGACTGCTTAAGCTCAGGAGTTGGAGGCTACAGCGTGCTATGATTACAACTGTGAATAGCCACTGCATTCTAGCCTGGACAACATAGAAAGACCCAATCCCTTAAAAAAATTTAAAAAGTAAATAAAAACCATTATGCTACTCACAATGTTCACAGAACTAACCCTGGTGGAGTGGCCACTGAAATCTGTAGAGCACTCAGAGTTAAGAAATCAACTGGGTACTGTTGCTCATGCCTGTAATCCTAGGTCTTTGGGAGTTTGAGACAGGAGCACCACGTGAGGCCGGGAGTTCAAGACCACCCTGGGTAACATAGTGAGGCCTATAGCTAGGTGTGGTGGCATGTGCCCGTAGTCCTCAGCTGGGACAAGAGGATCACTTGAGCTAAAGAGGGTGAAGCTGCAGTGAGCCAAGATCATACTGCTATGCTCTAGCCTGGACAACAGAGTGAAATGCTGTCTTAAAAAAAAAAAAAAGATTAGCGTTAAAAAAAATCCGTGTTTTGTCAAGCCGGGACTTGGTGAGAGCCCCCCGCTTTACAAAAAGCTCTTTTCTCTACTTGCACCAATCATACCTTTACATTGCCTTACACCTGTCATTCCGATGATGTGGAGGGTACTGGGAACGTCTGTATAGCTATCTGTCTCGGCCAAATTATTCCAGTCTTTTGTGTGCAATCAGGATTTAAAATTAGCAGTTAGTACACAGGCTGCATTGTGAGCGGGACTGACTTCCAACTTCAGGCAATTCCTTGTGGCCATTGTTCCTCAGAGAGGCATCGCAGCATTTCCACCTCGGCCTGTGTTTTGTGAAGCTTCACGGTTTTTGCTAGATGCCACTGGCTCATCTTGGTGAAGTACATGCTATAGAATTGATATTTTGCTGAGTGTATCAATGTCAACATCTCTGAAATACTGGTGACAAACTTTTTTTCCACCCCAATGAGGAAAAAATTTCTGCTCACTTTCTATGACCAGTTAAAAGAAGATGGATGCACAATGTTCACCCAAAGTCAGTGCCAGGAAGAGGAGAAAAGAGGCACCTGGACCCAATGGGGCAGCAGAGGAAGACGGGATTCCTTCCAAAGTGCAGCGCTGTGCAGTTGTAAGTAGAGTTTCATTGTTGAACACTTCACCTGGCAGGGGGACAGACACTGACGACATCAGTGTTACAAGTCTTCTTAAATAATGAAAAGAATGAATAGTAAGTGTGTTTTCACAGTCACTGGAAATCTCATGCCTTTTTACTAGATTATGACTCAGCTCAGTTGTAGAAGCTTTACGTTGGATTTAGAAAAAGAAGTCTTAGGAAAATATGGAAGTTGCATGTGCATTAGGCTCAAGATCAAATTAAAACTATTAAAATATGGACAGGTGTGGTAGCCCACACCTGTAATCCCAGCACTTTGGGAGGCTGAGGTGGGCGGATCACCTGAGGTCAGGAGTTCGAGACCAGCCTGGCCAACCTGGTGAAACCCTATCTCTACTAAAAATAGAAAATTAACCAGATGTGGTGGCGGGTGCCTGTAATCCCAGCTACTGGGGAGGCTGAGGCAGGAGAATTGCTTGAGCTCGGGAGGTGGAAGATGCAGTGAGCCAAGATCATGCCATTGCACTCAAGCCTGGACAACACAGACAGACCCTGTCTCAAAAATAAAAAGAAAAATAAAAAATAAGTAAATAAATAAAACTAATGAAATAGAAAAATTGGGGCTCTAGGCAGTGATTCAGTGTTCGTATCATTTCATGGTGTCTAGTGTGTCTTTTCAACTGTTTTTTCTCCCTGCATCATTCCTCTACTTCATCATTAGTTGCATCTTAGATGAGAACCTTTTTCCATTCACGCCTACCTTATGCTCCTTTACCTCTGGAGAGGTATTTCCTAAGTATTGCCAAACCTTAGATGAAAGATCCCATTCCACACTGCCTATCCTGTCTCAGCTTGCCACCCTTCCTAAAACTCTGCATAATAAAAACATGGCAGAGAACACTTATACACAACGCAATTGAAGTTACTGTTGTTAAACAGTATTATTATGAAATCTGTGTTTCAAAATCCCAGTGACAGAATTGCATGTTTCTTTACCTATATTGGCCGTTAACCATTGATCAAACTGCAGTTTCCACTGGTTAGTTCTGGAGCTTCCCAGCCCAAAAGGAAAAGTCTATTCTGAAACAATTAATAGTTACTCCAAATGAGTGCTCTATCTTGGGCAATAATAGCAAATAATACCCCACAAATAGACACGTGCCTGCAGCACTGATACTAATAATAAGGGCAAGTGTATTCATTTCCTGTTGCATTTATAACAAGTTACCATAAATGTAGTGACTTAAATACAAATGAATTATCTTAAAGTTCTGGACATCAGAAATCTGAAATGGTCTCAGAGGGCTAAAATCGGGGTGTTGGCAGAGCTGGAGAGTCCGGGGGAAAATCCAGCTTCTTGCTTTTTCCAGCTTCTAGAGGCTTCCCACATTGCTTAGTGCTTGGATTACATCAGCCAGTAATTACATCACTCTGACCACTTCTGCCATAGCTCCTTCTCGGATTCTGAATCTCCTACTTCCCCTTTTCACTTACAAGGACTCTTGTGATTATATTAGGTATACCCAGATAAACCAGAATAATCTTCCTGTCTCGCAATCCTTTATTTAATTATATCTGCAAAGCCTCTACTATTTTGATTTTTATTTGTATTTTTGAGACAAGAGTCTCGTTCTGTTCCCCAGGCTGGAGTGCAGTGACGTGATCCCCATTCACTGCAACCTCTGCCTCTTGGGTTCAAGTGATTCTCCTGCCTCAGACTCCCAAGTGACTGGGATTACAGCTGCCCACCGCCATGCGTGGCTTACTATTTTTATTTTTAGAGTCAGGGTCTTGCTATGTTGCCCAGGCTGGTCTTGAACTCCGGAGCTCAAGCAGTCTTCCTGCCTTGGCCTCCCAAAGTGCTAGGATTACCAGGTGTGAACCGCTATGCCTGGCATGCAGAGTCTCTTTTGCTATGTATGGTAAAACAGTCACAGGTTCCAGCAGATGGATGTGGACATCTGTAGGAGGCCATTAGCCATTATTCTGCATACTGTATGTGGTCTTTTGGGGCTGACAAATAAGCTCAGAAAGTGACTCAGTAGTCAACAAAACTGGGCATTGTTAATTTCTGAATATTTCCTAGAGAATTCAGATTAGAGAAATAGTGGTGTGTACCAATTCAGCAACATCACTTCAGGAACAAGTTATAACCAAATCACTGTAGCTAGGAATAGAGCAAAGGAAGCCAGTCTTTTTAGTGGAATGAGCTCTGAGAAAACTTAAATTTCTTGGTCTTTAGTCTCTGCGGAGTCTTTTCATTTTATTCTTCTAAGGAGTCCTAATGTTTTAAATTACTTTGCTTCATATGTTCATGTGAAGTCAGTTGAGTGACTTGCTGCCTGTTCCACATTCCTCCCTGGAACACACAGGCTATTTAGCATGGACGAATGGCCAAAGATCTGCCCAGCAGCCGGGACCACCCTTGGTGAGGAGGAGTGTCTGCTAATAAACTTGTTTGTCATCTCACTGTATACCTGTACTTTCTATCTCTGAATCTCCTTTGAACTCTAAAACAAAAGCAAGCAAGATTTTTTCTTTTTTTAACAGCTTATTGAGATATAATTGACATATCATTTACAGTATATGATTCGGTGATTTTTAGTATATTCACAGAGTTGTGCAACCATCACCATGACCAATTTTAGAATTTTTAAATTTTTTTTTTTTGAGACAGGGCCTTGCTCTGTCCCCCAGGTTGGAGTGCAGTGGTGTGATCATAGCTCACTGCAGCCTCAACTTTCTGGGCCCAAGTAGCTGGGACTGTAGGTGTGCATCACCATGCCTTGCTAATTAAAAACATTTTTTTTGTAGGGATGGAGTCTCACTATGTTACCCAGGCTGGTCCCAATCTCCTGGATCAAGTGATTCTTCTGCCTTAGCCTGCCAACGTATGGGATTACAGGCGTGAGCCACCATGCCTGGCCTGGGATATTTTTATCACCCCAGAAAGAAGCCCTGGACTCATTAGCAGTCACTCCCCATTTCCCCCGAGTCTCTCCAGCCTCTGGAAGCCACTAATCTGCTTTCTGTCTCTGTTGATTTGCCTGTTCTGGACATTATATAAAATGTCCATTACATCATATCAGACAGTATGTGGTCTTTGGGGCTGGCTTCTTTCACTGAGCATGTTTTCAGGATTCATTCATATTGCAACATATATAAGTCCTTTTTTTTTTTTTTTTTTTTTTTTGAGATAAAGTCTTGCTCTGTTGTCCAGGCTGGAGTGCAGTGGCATGATCTTGGCCTCCCAGGTTCAGGTGATTCTCCTGCCCTCCTAAGTAACTGGGACTGCAGGCATGCACCACCAAGCCTGGCTGATTTTTGCATTTTTAGTAGAGATGGGGTTTTACCACTTTGGCCAGGCTGGTCCTAAACTTCTGACCTCAGGTGATCTGCCCACCTCAGCCTCCCAAAGTGCTGGGATTACAGGTGTGAGCTACCACGTCCAACCAGTACTTCATTTTTTTTTTAATTGGCAAATAACATTCCATCATATATCACACGCTACTTTTTAGTTATTAATTCTCCAGTTGACATTTGGGTTTAGTAAAAAAGATTTTATTGCCTATTTACACTGTGCTAGTACAGCAGTAGGTGGTAAGGGTGTAAAGATAAACAAGACCTTCCTTTTATGAGATGTGAGCATAGAGTTCTATAGCTTAGAGCTCATTAACTTTTTTATTTTTTATTTTATTTATTTATTTTTTTAAAATGAGGACTTGCAGGCCGGGCATGGTGGCTCACGCCTGTAATCCCAGCACTTTGGGAGGCCGAGTTGAGCGGATCACCTGAGGTCAGGAGTTCAAGACCAGCCTGGCCAATATGAAAAAAACCCCATCTCTACTAAAAATACAAAAATTAGCCGGGCGTGGTGGCATGCACCTCTAGTCCCAGCTACTCGGGAGGCTGAGGCAGGAGAATTGCTTGAACCTGGGAGGCGGAGTTCGCGCCACTACAACTCCAGCCTGGGCGACAGAGTGAGACTCCATCTCAAAAAAAAAAAAGAATGGGGCAACTTGCTATGTTGCCCAGGCAGGTCTTAAACTCCTGGGCTCAAGCTATCCGCCAACTTCTGCCTCCCCAAGTGCTGAGATGGCAGGCATGAGCCACCATACCTGGCAGAGCTCCTTAGCTTTAGAAAAACACTTTCCTTGCAGGTAAAGAAAGGAAGGATCACCAAGTGTTAGGTACCTGGGTTGGTAGGTCAGGATGAAAGGGATAGAAAAGAGACAAAAGAGTTAAGAAGGAAAAACCAAGGAAAAACTTTATGACTATTTTGTCTATGAGTATAAAGAATTTATTGATACAGATGTTTCTAAACGTTCAGTCAAAAGGATCACAAAAGTATTTACAAAACATTAGACATTTAGTATATCTTAATATTGTCTCCGGCTAGGCACGAGTGGCTCACACCTATAATGGCAGCACTTTGGGAGGCGGGAGGATTGCTTGAGGCCAGGAGTTCAAGATAACCTGGCCAACATAGTAATATCCCTTCTCAATAAAAAATAAAATAAAATAAAATAAAATAATTTACAAAGAATATCATATGTACGAATGAGTCATGAAGTACCTAAACTGTGTGGAAAATCGGCCATAGTTCTGCTTATGGCTAAGTAGGCCTCCCAATCTCATTTCAACCAGAATATATTGAGAACCTCTACTTGCCAGTGTCTGTGCATTGGAGATGCAAGGATGAAAAGATGACCTTGCTCTTGGGAAACTTACAGACAAAAAGGGGTAAGAAATGGCAACAAATAAGATAAGAGTATGAAATTAAGATACAGTATGAAAGGTGCCAAAAAGAAGGAAGTTAGAGCAAGTTACAAAGTCAATCTCTCGAGAAAAAAGGAATAGGAAGATCTCCAAGTATTAGATACCTGGGTTGGTGGGTCGGGATGGCCATAGTTCTGCTTACGGCTAAGTAGAGGCCTCACAATCTCGTTTCACCCAAATGAGTCTTAAGAAGCAAGAGACTGACTTTGACCAAGATGTGGGTTCAGTGCTTTGGG